GTCATAAAATACCTGCAGGTCGCATTTTGATATGACAATTGGATAGAAGCCGCTGATTGGTGGAAAGGTGGAATTCGAGGTGGGATTTATTTTTTTGCAACGTTGCTAATTTTCATTGAAAAATAATCGCTTTTTATGTGTTAGAGAAAGATACAAAATAACACAAGGATTAATAAGTAGTGGGGAGAGATGCGGTTCCTGGCATGTAGTCAACCGATATTATTGTTTATTGTTCTGTCTATCTGTGTTAATAGGTCATTGGTTATAGACCTATGGTTTATTTTTTTCCAAGATAGATTTTGGCCGAGGGGGTAACATCTGGCGGCAATACTGTCACAAATTCTTAACAATCGCTTGCAATCACTTAAACTGCCGTGGCAATCTCAGTCGCAGTCCCGCAATCGCGTTTGCAATCTCAAAATCGCTTTAAAACAATCCTGCAATCGCATTCGCAGCCTCGCAATCTGACAATCACATTGGCAATCGCGTACGCCTCCACCTGTTCCCAGGTACAATCGTGTGCCGCGCATGCGCAGCCGCGCGTTTATTCGTTTGTAAATAGTGAGAGTCAGCGCAGTCGGCAAAGAGAAAGATTGACAGACAAATTTCTTGCTATTTTATGCTATTTATTTGCGATTAAACTGTTATTAAACTATGGTGGGATTATTACTATAAAGGCCGATTTACACGTATCCAGTAGCTGGCGCTAGTCTCACTGGCTGCATGGCATGCCAATTTTTGGCTGGTAAAGCGCTGGACCCAGGTCGTCTACATGAGTCCAGTTAATCGTGAGTTTTCACTGCGGTAAGTGTTCCCACGATGCCAGAACTGGAACGACATGCAGTGAGACTGGCGCCAGCTACTGGATACGAGCGAATCGGCGTTAAAGGTAAAAGCCTGCACCTAAATTACTTCTTATAGAAAATATTAATTGACCGTTGACCGCATTTGTAAGTTTAGAATTTCGATTTAGCGGGACTTCTTCATTCAAATCAAATTCAAGTCCATTTCATTCATCTGGAAGTCACACTTTTGGAATACCCTAAAGAATATTTTGAGTACAAATGACCTGAACCAGAAGATGTTATGTCAAGCCAAAATGAATTATTTAGTGAAGATACCATTGAAGAGCTAAATGCTATGTTTATGTAGGAATAATGGAATTCACTTTCAAACTACGATCTACTAGATATTGAGGACTACACTGATCACAATAATTCAAAAACATTAGACCCTAGCCTTCTAAAAATAAAAGTTTAGGACAAAAATTTGTTGGTGAAAAAATAAACACTGTGCTGGCTATTTTCTAATAAAAACGGAAAGTTATCAACCGAGTTATCATCAACAGATAGAAATCTCAGATGCATAAGTATGCAAAGTTGTCAAAAAAATAAATAAAGTAACAGAATAGTAGAAATAGAGCCTATCAAAAGAGCAAAAATAAGAAACTGCAATCAAAAAGGGCTCCAAACATGGAAGATGCCAAAACCTCTGAAAGTGGGAGCTATTCAGAAAAAAAATGAATTGGGAAATGAAAGCAGAAGAAAATACATTTTGCGAAGAAGTGTCTCTGAAAAATGAAGCTGCTGCATATAATACATGATACATGATGTAATTGCCGGTTCATAGAGACGTTAGATGTTGATATAAAGTATAAAATGTCAGAAGAGGTCTTGATGATTACATTTGGCAAGAAGAAGATATACAAATAGTTGCGAAAAAAATATATATTTTGTGGTCCCATTGCTTTGCAAGGAAAAAAAATTCATCTTAGAAAGCAAGACAAGGTGAATATCGAGAAAATAGGTTCAAGATCCCAAAAATGTATGTATCCATTCAACTTTGTTACAAGTACAGGGTATGTTCCTTATAATTAGTGCGGCTTCTACAACTTGAACAAAAAAAAGTTAAATACAAAAGTAATAGGGTTTTATTTCTATTATATTGCACATGTCAAAACCACAATCAAAACCAGAGATAAATACTATATAAACTGTCGAGAATGGAATCTCAGTGTAAATTTTTTTGTCAACAAAATTGAGCCAAGCCAGCGCCATCTACTATATTGGAAATATTACTATTTACTGGTTTTACAGTGACGCTACAGATACCTACTTTACATAGTGCTTTAAGGCATTTTTATGATAGATGGCGCCCTGTTCGCATTACTGTCGGGCTGTTCAAATTTGTTTATTCTAGATCTTGGGACATTAACTTTGCTTAAACTAATTGATTTTTTGTTAATTAGATCAAAAGACAGTTCCTTTATGTCAAAACGGACAAACTATAAGTACTAACTGTCATAATGACTAAGACTCGCATTTTTTTTTTTCAAATGATTGATTTTTTTTTCTGATTCCAAATATACCATGTTGATTTTTGGCTCAGCTGTTTTTACGCTAATTAAGTTTAAAATTGCATCAAGTAAGCCTCACCATTGATATCAGGAACTGGAAAAAAAAATGAATATGCAACTGGAAACAGACGTGATTTAAGGTAACATAAATGCCTCGGTAAATGCATTTTTTAACTTAAATATTGAAAAACAGCTAAACCAAATATCAACATTTTTGGTATATCTGGAATCAGAAGAAAATAATCTATCATTTTATCAACAAATATACAGGGTGTTCCATTTGAAAAATGCAAGTGTATGACAGTTGGCATTTGTTATTTGCCCCTTTTGACATGTGCAAAATATAATAAGTAGAAATATCAATAAAACCCTGAAACTTTTGTGTCTACTTATTTTTTTTTTATTATTTTCACAAGTTGTAGAAGCCGCACTGATTATAAGGAACAGACCCTGTACATACCCATATTATATAGAATTTTTAATACCTATTTAGAAGTACCAAACATTCTAGTAACTAAACGTATGTCGCTTCTTGAACACACAAATAAAATAAGGTTAGGAATTTCCTGTTTGTACAGGGTTATTGGTTATAAATGCCACCCCCTCTATCTTTTTTATTTGACATTTTAGAAAAAAGTGTCCCAAATAAAAGTTTTACGGTTGAAATTAAATTTTTTGAAAAACTCACTTTCGCATATACAGGGTGTTTCAAACGAGCTGGCCGTGCTCCAAATTTCTTATTTCAAATAGAATACCCTGTATATTATTGGATATTCGGATTCTACGTAAAATTCTGAGCAGATTTCATGTGATATACCATATACCCAAGTTCAACTGTTTTGGAAATATTGACAGTTGAAAATTGACTTTTTTGCAACTTTGACAGGCTGTAAATCCTAAACGGTTAATTTTAGAGCAAAACCGATCTTACATTTTTATTTTAGATTTCTATAAACTATCAGTTGACACCAATATTTGACATCAACTTTGAATTTAATCCCTGATTGAAAATTCCAATTAAATTTAATCTAACGGTTAAATTCAAAGTTGGTGCCAAATGATAACTTGTGAAAATCTTAGAAAAAAATGTAAGATCGGTTATGCTCAAAAGTTAACCGTTTAGGTTTTACAGCCTGTGAAATTTGCGAAAAACTCAATTTTCAACTGTCAATATTTCCAAAACAGTTGAACTTAGGTATAGGGTATATCACATGAAATCTGCTCAGAATTTGACGTAAAATCTGAATATTAAATAATATATAGGGTATTCAATTTAAAATAAGAAAGTTGAAGCACGACCAACTTTTTTGAAACACCCTGTATATGCAAAAGTGACTTTTTCAAAAAATGTAATTTCAACCATCATTTTTTTATTCGGGACACTTTTTTCTAAAATATCAACTAAAAAAGATAGAGGGGGTGACATTTATAACCAATAACCCGTACATGAAATTGATGTATTAGCATTCGACGTTCGTTTTTGCTGGTAATTTTTTGGTTCATCTGATTCGTGATTGATAAATAAGGATGAAATTATTCTAAATGGGTATTAAAAATACTACTTACTTTGAAATCCCGAGTGAAATCCTTTAGAGAATAGCAAAATATATATTTGTTCATATATTTACTCCTATTTTTATTTGTGGATTAATAATCTAATATATATTTCAGTGTAACTCAGTAACTCAAGCAGTTACCAAAAACCTTTCTCGGTCACTTGCAATCGCCTACAATCGTCTGCAATCATTCACAATTGTCTGCATTCATTCAAAATCGTCTGCAATCATTCACAATCATATGCACATTGCAATCCTCCAAAATCCAACAATCGCATCACAATCCCGGGATTGCAGTCGCAATCGCAGCAATTGTAGGGAAATCATAGGGATTGTCGCAATACTGTCACAAAATTTAAGAAGATGTTACCCCCTCGATTTTGGCATTGTCAACTTCGAAACATAAACAATGCCGCTTATTGGTCCCTATTGTAAAACTGATGTCAACCTGCAGAAACACCTCATTTTGCGACCAATCAGGGTCAAGCGTTATTGTTTATGTTTCAAAGTTTTCAATGTCAAAATCTATCTTGGGAAAAAATAAAGTGTAGAAGACTATTTTTCAAGTACTTATCTCTTTCTTCACAAAAAATGTATTGTTCCAGGGCTAAAATGTATGAATTCAGAGGCCAGGAGGTTCTCAAGGGAACTTGCATGGTTACAAAATTTTTTTTGTTAAAAAACCAACTAAAAAACGGTAAAATTCAAGCAAATACAGAAATAGGTGTAAAACAGGTCAAAATTATGTTGTTATCTATACCTACTGGGAACAAAAATCAAGGTTCATTAACCAAGATTCACTATCTTTAATTCCAAAATAGGGAATTATGATCACAATATGATTTTTTCTTTACAAATTAGTTCCAAATTGAAAAAATACTTACTAAACTGTCCAAGTTACCTAACAAGTAATGTACCTACAGACACAACACAATCACCTTTAAATTAAAATAAAAATATCATAAATTTGTAAATGGACAAACAGCGAATGTGGCCTTTAGCATCCAAGGTTCAAATAAAAAAATACGTCAATAAAAATGGGAATTTTCTAATTGCTAGTATTAAATAATAACAATAATACTACTTACCTACTCAATAGGAATCAGATCCCCGTTTGTTCATTTTTGATTCGTGATTTTCTATCACTAAACAGCTTCGATGATGTTGTGCACTTGATTAACATAAACAATAATGTTAATTACTTGATATTTTGATAAAAAAACGTTGCCAACCCTAGAGATTTATATTCACCAATTATTTATTAAAAAAATTGTTTCACCTATTTTCAAGAGATAATTTTTTCAAAGTTGTAAGCAATTTTTATTTATCTTTTTTTGAAGTTCTAACCTCACTTCTCACTTTCGTTTGTTTACAACTTGGTTGAATAATCATTTGTTGTATTCCTTTCACCCCTAGGAGGAGCTCCGGAACAGCTCCGGGGCATTATGCACCTATTTCTTTCGAAAAGTGTTTGTTGCACCATGCAACGGGGGCGACTAGCACCGGAGCGAGTGTATTCATTTCATTTGTGCTTGCTCTCTCTATCTACTCAAACAATCAGGGAGATCGAGAGATCTGCGAGGGATCAAGAAAGAGCGCTCCGTGCGACATTTGAGAGCGTTCCATTGCTCATGTCAAACACGTTAACGGCGAGAGCAAAGGCCCGTTTCAAGCCGAACATGGTGAATCCTATTCGGATCGCTTTTTAATCAATTGGGTGCAGTTTTGGAGCAAAAGCCGAAAGCGCTATTAGCAATATTTTTCTAGTTGTCAAATGAATTTTGTAATGTCAATATGTCATGTCAAAAATCCCACCAAAAAATAGAGACGTCCATTTTCTTTTCAGTTTTCGTCATTGAGGTGTGGTACGTGATTCAGGTGTTGGCTGTTAGCAGTGGAAAGGAAAGTCGAAGCCGAAGCACTCTTCGATAAGGTTTTTTTTTTTGAAGACCCCTTATTTTATTGTATTATCAAAATCGGTGTTTATTTTCAGAAGATTTTTTATAGGTAAATAATTATGATTTTAAGCATATTTTTATTCCGATTGTAGAGGAATCTCCCTATATACAGGGAAAAAAAACCGAGGAAAAAAAAGAAAAAACCCTTTTGTAAATCGCTGATTCTCGTTAATACTGTTATAGTTAGTTAAATTGGTTTAATAATGGTCTATGGTTAAATGCCCAAAATATTCACTAATGTATTGTAAATTGATTGTATATGTACTCCAATATTTTTAATAAAACTCTTATTCGCAACAGGAAATATATTTATTAATTCGACCGCTCTCTTGCTAAGCTAAACATCATCCACTAAATCTCAATCCCCTGATTCCCCTGTTTACATTTACATTCTTTACCCCGACACATCATCACGCCACTTCTGACTTATCATATTAGATAAGTAAGTTATATTGTAAAACTCTATGTTATCATTATACTAATAATTCTCCTTTCCTATATTAATTATAAGCCTCCGTCAAAACTCACAATAATAAAAACTGCTGTCTAAGCGGTACTGCACTGGAAAGTACCACTATTTCGCCTACGTAAATGCTGGCAACGGCAGTTATCTGCAGCTCATTCTATTATTTTTAGCCACACTCCAGAAAATAGTAATTAGAATTACAGGTTCATTTGTTATCGAATTTTACGTCGCAGCAATTTGATCCACATATTTTCTTTTGTCACCTCTGTATTTTAATTAATAAAATAATAGTATATTGTTATATTAGGACTAGGAGTAGAAGCTTTACTTTTTTGTGCTGAAGCAGTAGGTTTGCGAGCCGAACGTAGTGAGGCTTGCAATACTGCTTAAGCACAAAAAAGTGCTTCTACACCGTATGCAACACGCTATTTTTTCTCCAAACGAATGGGGTAAGGTCGGGGACAAGTGGGTGGTTAAGCGGCAGTAAAAGTACGAGCGGCACTAAAAGTACTTTTGCTGCCGCTCCAGCGGCACTAAAAGTACTTCTACTGCCGCTGCGGTTGCCTAGCAGCATAGAAATTAAATTTCTACCACCTCGACAGGTGTTAACCCGCTGGATTTGCCTAGCAGCATAGAAATTTAATTTCTATGCTGCTAGGCAACCGCAGCAGCAGTAGAAGTACTTTTAGTTACGCTGGAGCGGCAGCAAAAGTACTTTTAGTGCCGCTCGTACTTTAACTGCCGCTCAACCATTGAGTTACCCCCGAGCTCACCCCATTTGTTTGGAGAAAAAATAGCGTGTTGCATACGGAGTAGAAGCACTTTTTTGTGCTTCAGCAGTATTGCAAGCCTCACTACGTTCGGCTCGCAAACCTACTGCTTCAGCACAAAAAAGTAAAGCTTCTACTCCTAATACAACAATATACTATTTTTTTAAATATGTACAAGTTTCTGAATCGAAAATATAATTAGTATATCACTGCATCTGTATCTTTTTGTGAAAATTTCAATTCATGGTACATAAACTTATAATCGAGCTTATAATATAATAATTATATTGATCTATAGAAACATGATGCTTAGGGATGTAAAATGACGGTCATTTATTTTTTGTGATAGGTGACTGTCATTTTTTGGTCATTTTTGTCATTTATTGTCATTAATCGTCATTTACCTTCAATGTAGAACATAACATAACCTAAATCAATAATCAAATATCTGATTGGTTGAGTTAAGTTTATCTCTTCAGTTTCATAGTCATCAACATCAAAGTCATTTAGTGAGTTAGAAAGTACAGCTTCCATCTTCTTGATTAGATTGATAGTAAAAATCGAAAGACATCTGATATCTTTTCTCAGTCACATATATTTCAATAATGGTCATATATTTTAATGACAGTCAGTTATTATTTTGACAGTCAGAAAATTTACGGGTCAGTTCTGTGCACATCTGTAAGTAAATCTATAACTTTCTATAATCATATAGCTGCCTATAGACAATTTGCAGTTCTACACTTCCCTCTAGCTTACAGAAAATCTTATAAAATAGTAAATATTTCCGATCTGGTGTTTGGTAATCGATGCATTTTGCAGTGTCTATACGCTTATAGAAAGTTATAGATTTGCTTACAGATCTGCACAGAATTGACCTGTAAATAAATAAAAAAATAAATGACAAGAGTGTCATAAAAATAAATAACGTGACCGTCATTTTCATTTTGACTGTGACATGACATTGTCAGAAAAATTGACTCACAACCCTAATGATGCTATACTCTATTCCTCCTATTATTGAAAATTTTAATAATTAATTCAAGACTTAACTCTACAAATTTAATCGTTACAATAAAATTCAACTGACTGACTTAACATTGTCGAGAAATTACTTATATAAAGATGAAAAGCACATTAAGTAAGTTTATTGTTTAGTCAGCGCCTATAACTGTTTTAACTCCTCCCTCCTTAACTTCCAACTCTACGCTTGACGGGGTAGTTGGACTTCAGTTGCAGGGGCATCGTTCTTCTTCCTTCTGTTTTGGAAGATGGGCATCACATACTTGTTTATGGCAACCAGGCAGCAAATAGCAATGACCCCATACAGATAACAGAAGTAGGGTCCAGATACTTGGACTTTGGACTTCTATAGTAGATGCTGTGATAGTAGTATATAGTAATTTGCTTGAAGTAAAGTTGAGGCTGAATTTCGGAGATTTCATATCTTAACTGATGGAGCCCGTCCAGCTTCAAATTGTAAAAGTGACGACTCAAATTTAAAAGTGGTAGTGGTAGTGTTGTTGACGATTCGGCAAAATCGGGGAACAACATGGGTTGCCGATTTGGGCTGATTAGCTTTTGTTCATTGGTAACCAGTTTTTTTTTAGAAATTCTTTATTTCTGACCCCTAAACAGTAACAAAATACTGGCAACAGGGCCTACATTTAATTTTATAGAAATACATTAACTTAATAAATATAGAGTTCCTGATTTAGATTTAACAAATTAGTTTATTCTGTTCCTTTAATGTAGTCTTTGAGGTTACGGCATATTAGTCTATTATTCTGCACATTTTCATTTATGATTTCTCTTGGAGTTTTTTTGTATGTTTGTACACTTCTGTATATGGGAGAATCTTGTGTTGTTTTAGTCCTTAAGAATTTATTTGCTATGTATTCTTTTTGTCGCGTACTATATGTATGATAATTTTGTCTTTGGGTTAATGCTGTATTTGATTTTATTAGTTCATTCTTTATTGAGTATATGAGTTTCACTTGTTCATTTTTTTTTCAATTTAGTCTATATTTGTGATTTTTGTTTTTTTGTATATGTCAGCACTGGGAGTATATTGATCCATAAGATATATGGTTTTCACAGCTTTATTTTGTATTCTTTGCAGTTTCTCGAGTTGATATTTTGGAGTGTTTCCCCAACAAGGCAGAAGATACCTTAAATGAGGTTCTATGAAACTGTCTTGCACCGTTATTCAATAGATGTGAGCACCTTTTTATTGCTCCTAAAATTGGTGATATTTTTTTAATGATGTTATCAATATGGACAGACCAGCTGAGATTGTTTGTGAGAATCAGGCCCAAATATTTATATTGCTTTGTCTCCTTCAGTTGCACACTATTTAGAACCACTTCCATATCACACCTCTTTCGCCCTATTTGCATATACTCAGTTTTATCTACATTAATTCTTAATTTATTATAATACAGCCAGTTATGATACAAATTCAGGTCACTGTTTATTTCTCTTTCAAGTTCTTTAGGGTTTTCTCCCGAGAAAGCGAGTATAGTTTCATCAGCAAACATGAACTATTTTGATTTTAGTAGAAGATATTGTAACCCACATAATAGTGAAAGAACATTCATATTCTCAGAATATTTCCTCAAAGTGCTTTTTGGAATGTTCTTCGAGGAATGTTCAATGAATATTCTAAGATTGTTTCGATTGAAATATTCATTGTTGAACGTTCTATTTATGTACTAGGAATGTTGCTTCTATGCACCTACCTGAAAGATTGTGCTAAGAACCTACTTTATATAACATTATTTGAATATTGTCATACGAACATTATTATAATGTACCCTAAAAAATGTTCTTTGGACTAATATCTCTATCAAATATTAAGAATATACCTAGCAAGTTATGCTGAGAAGTTTATGTAGGTAGGTGACCATGATAAGAATATTTTCAAATTGTTCACCTAATTATCTAAAGTACCTACCTACTCAAAAATCCTTATTGAACAATTAAACAATAATGCTCTATCTAGAACCTACTAAGAATATTATAGGTATATTCTTTTTCTTTTGCTTTGTAGGACTTCCAAGAGAGGGAGCCACGCGCTATTAAAGATCTACATCTTGCCTAGCGTTTGAATCACTTTGGAACCTGTTTCTCTCAGTTGGCGTGCTTACCGCGACGAGAGCATTACAAGC